TTCATTGTGTTCAACACCCCTGTTCCTGTAATAGTCACTGCCCTGTTGTTAACTGTTCCAGTAAACTAGGGTCAGCCTCCTGGAATTCCTGACATGCAGCTCTTTCCTCTGGGCAAGGGAATGACTATCAGATGCAGAGTCAGATTCCTGTCAGTCCCTGCTGCTGAATGAGCTTGGATTTCTCTCTAAATTTTTTCCCTTCCCCCCTCTAGTTGATGTACATGGGTTTCAGCCAGGAATCATCAGAGCAAGCATTAAAAGTCTTTAAAGGCAACATCCACTTAGCTTCCCAAACCCTTGCTCATTACGGGGGAGTTCTTCCTGCTTCGTTGCTGCTATCTCCGGAAGAGTCCAGTCCATCAGAAGAATCAACTTCATCAAAAGACTCGCCTACAGAGTCTGCAGGTAAGAATTGCTGCATGCAACAAGCAGAGAAGAGGGAAAGGGGATAAGAAGTAATGATTAAGTGATTGCAGCTTAAATACTGGTAGACTGCTTTGAGCAACACTGCAGACTACTCTTCTCATTGGTAACATTGGGAAGACATTAGTGAAAACGAGCCCTGAGCAGTCAGCAGCAACCACATGTAGAACCATGAGGTGTGCGTAGCAGCTGTAGGGGTGTGTAAGGCAAACCGAGTCCACAACTTCACAAGGCCAGTTCAGGCCTCCTTTCTCCAGCAAAAGGGCTAACCTGCAAAGCTGTGCTCGGAAGGGTCAAGGGGAAACTGCTGCTGACTCAGCTATGGCTTTGGGACACAAGGCTGCCTCGTTTCAATAGGGAAGAACCCATTGCCCTCTCTCATCCCCAAGTAATTCTGACTTCTTCCGTCTAACTGACCAATTCTGCTTAAAAACAAATAAATACTTCCCTTCCTATATGCTTTCACAGATGAGCAAGTTCCTAAGACTCTGGCACGCTTCCTGGAGCCTACCACTGATGATGATGATGTTTTTGGCTTGCTAATGTCTGTAACTCTTTGACTGTTAGGAGATTTATTCCAAATCTGTGCTATACAGTCAGCTCACTCTACCATATATCCCATTCTTTTGTTCCTTGTAAGAAAGAGCTGTAACTGTTACTTGCCATTTAGCAAGGGGGAAACGCACTTTCTCTCCTCCGTTATCTGTCAGAGCTGTAGTCGTCTCTGTTGTGCACCTAAGGGCTTTCCTACAGCTTTGAATAGTATTTGCCATCCTGCAGTAGCTGGCTCTTGAAGAACAGTAGTGCTAGTGAAAGAGGGAAAGCATAAACTTCTTTCAGAGATGAATAAACTGCCGTTTTATTTTATGGGTAGGTTCTTCTAGTTCACCAACAGATGAAGACATGGAGACTGATGCAGTCAATGAAATCCTAGAGGATATTCCTGAGCATGAAGAGGATTATCTGGATTTAACACTGGAGGAGGAGGAACAGATCATTCGTGAATACTTATCCTATATACAAGTACCACAGCATTAAATCCCATTACGTCTGCTTCAGTTGTATGCATTTACATTGGCAAATTGAGTTTGGATTATAAATGCATCTTCAGCTTATCTTTTACTAAATGCCTCGAATTCAGTTAAACTACAGGTAAATCACTTAATTCCTGCTTATTTATAAATCTGCTTAAAAGCCTACATGTGTGATGCATCATAATTTATTGTCATAGCAGAAAAATAGAAACATTTATTTTCAGAAGAAAATTTAATAGAACTTAACTATATTTTTATTGTTGTGAAATAAGTTAATTCACTTAGTATACAAGTAAATAAGCATTTCTACACCATTTTAAAATACCAGCTTCAAAAAATATTTGTAAATCAGAAGCCTAGCTCATGAGCTATATAGAGCTATCGTCTTACAAACTGGTTTTCTTTTCTTCTGAAAGATTTCTCAGAGTCATTTAAGTCTCTGTTGTGCATGGATTTTTACTGCATTTTGCTTGTCTCTTCATGCAGGTGTTAAAGAGCCAATAAAGATGACTATGTGCTGGCTTCTGCTTTTATTAAGTGTCTTTCATGCTTTGTTTTTAAAAAGTAGCAGAAAGCAGCTGGCAGGGCCGCATCCTGTCAGACTCCGGTGAGCTGTTTTTACTGCAGTATTTCAATTCATAACTAGCTAACCAGTTTCCCCAGGTGCCTACTCCTACTTCCGACAGGTTCTAGACTTGAGACTGAGATTAAAGTGTTCTGTTTAACAGGGACTAGAAGGTCTCCCTTAAACAAAACTGGGTTCAGGCATTATCTCAGCAGTTGTCCCCAGCTTCAGAATTCTGAAAAAATGGCTTTTGGGTTTGCTGGTGGTTTTGGTGGTGGTGTTTTGTTTGTTTGTTTTTTGCTTAAGTGCATTTTGTACCATCTAACTTCCTGCTGCAAAAACACTCCTTCCCCCCTTGGGCCCTTGGAGCAGAAGTTTCCTGCGTTATTAACCTATATTAGAAATGGTTTATTTTAAGACACTTTCAATAACTTCAGTCTGGCGGTAGAGGGAGCTCATGTCCCACTTGCTCCATGACGAAAGCTAGAGCTGGTGGGAACATAGGGAACACTGGAAATAGCAGTGATCCTTGCTTATAAAGCCCGGTCTGAACAAGGTACTGGAAAGTGAATTTTGTGGTGACAGTTCATTCTTACATATAATTTATCAGTGGGAGAAATAAGGGCTTCCCCTTTTGGTAGGGCAGGCAAGACAGAGGAGGAGACTCAACTATGGCCTGCAAAATGACTACTCCGTTCCAGTTGATGCCTTTAATAGGCTTCAGTAGTGGATTTTTGTTCCGTGCTTATCTTAGCTGATGGCAGCAGACAACATGGAATGATTATGCTGTTAAGGAATTACTTGTCTTTCACAATTGTGCGTCAAGACAAGTGCTACAAAAATTAAGGAGTCTTGTATGTCCTCTGAGGAAAAAACAGCCCCGTCACCTATTTGTGTCTTCTGTTTCTCTTTAGAAGAGCATTGAGGAACCACGGAGCAAAAAACAAGATAATTTTAAGGGAGCGCTTCTCACTGATTTGTCCTGCGTAACTTGTCTGTGATCTCTCTGAGCAGAGGACGCAAACACTGCTGCTTTTTTTTTCGTTTAGACACCTTTTGTGGGTTTAGAAACCCTTTTAGCAGTTCTGTCCCATGAGGGACACAAAGTGAGCTCCTGCAAAAATTAGCTGGAGTAGTTAGTGCCCACCACTTGAAAGCGGGTGCCAGTTTAACACGGGATGGGGGACAGAGTTTCCCAGCAGAGTCTATATATGCTACGTAGTGGACTTCTAAACTATAGTAAAGCCAAGACGGTACAGAAAAAAAATTAAGATGCATGCAGTTTTAATAAGAAAGAGGTGGGAAAGCACAAATCTATTCTTTTTTTTTTTTTTTTTTCCAGCCAGAAAGGTTCCCAAACCTATCAGCATTATTGCACTGCATTATGCTAGCCTCTAAGCATGCACCCAAGGAGCAGCTGGCTTTACAGGTGCTATGGCTGTACAGGTGCTACTTCTTTGAAGTAGCTTGCACAGGAAAATGGCAGTGACAACCTAAGAGGTGAACATTTGTCCTTGGGGAGCTTAAAATTAGCATCATCATAACATGCAGTGCTTGTGAAAGAAGCCATTCCTCAATGGTGTGATTCCATCAATCTGCACTGCCCCCAAGTAACTGTAGGGGCAGTTTTAAGTGATCAGCAGGGCAAGAAGGCGTTGGCAAAAAGGTTTTAAGTTAATTAATTAATTTTGAAAATATAGCTCAAGACACTGTGATATGTTTAGCAACAAGCAGAAATTCTAATGACTCATTAATTCCTCTCTTAATGCGATTGCTGTCTCTTACAGCTGTTTGCCCACTGTGTGCATCTGCTGCACGCCAGAGCTGCTCTCCCTTCTAACAGCATGTGCAGTTTTAAACAAAGCGTATGACCCTAACCATCCATACAACTCCAGCCATTTCTCGCAAAGGCTTCCTACTTAGCATTGACCTCAAATATGAATAAAATTCATTGCATACCAAACCATCACCCTAGCAACCAAGAGCCCCCATCCTCTAAACATTTCCCACAGGGCTACCACAACAGGACTGAGAGGTTTCAGGGAAATTAGGGTATAACAGACAGATGAGCTCCAACATTAGTTTCTCAGGGTAGGCATTTACCATAATGGAAGTGCTGTTTCCAGCTAGCTGTACAAACCTGCCATGTTTGTTAGAGCTAACAAAGCTTCTCATCAGGTGAGGTGAGCGGTGTGTGGAGCAGCAATGACAGACGCCAGTGATGGCATGTTAGGGTTTCCTACCAGACTAAGGGTCTTCAGCAGCCTGTTTGATAGTAGGCATTACAAATGCCAATCCTTCAGCTCCAAGAGACAGTTTGTTTTGTTTTAGTGCTGAGCAAGGCAGCAGGGACGAACCTGGGATCTGATGATTGCCACACAGGTTTCTTTCTTTAGTTTAGTTAGACTTACTTAATCTCTTAGTTGTAGCTGCTTGCGTCTGCTGTCCGTTAAGTACAAACAAACAGGGCTGCTTTGAGTCCATCCACCCTACCACCAGCCTGTTCCTACTTTTCTGGAAATTGCTGCAGCTATAAGATGGTAGGACCCTTGCCTTGCTGCATACGAAGGGCACACAAATACCAACCCCTGTGAGCAGCAGCAGTGAGAGCTGACTCAGTGTGCATGGTTCAGTCGCACATGCTTTTCCCCTTAAGACTAGTTTGTGGCTACTCATCCCTCCAATAACTAAAGAAACTGAGTTCTGGCAGTCTGATCACTAGGAGGAGGAAGGACTGCTCCACAGCACAACTGCCTCCAAGCCCCATCAGTGAAGGAAAGGCAAGAAAGGCTTCCAAAAGTGTATGTTTGTTTTTAACATATTCCATCCATTCTTGGCTGGCTGCAGAGGCACAGCAGTTAAATCCCCTCTGTATGAGAAGAAAATAAATAAAAACTAGACCATTAACAACCTGTAGATGCCACATGTTTATTACTCCATTCTTTAAAAAAAAAAAAAAAAGGTATTACAACATTTTTATTTGCTGTAGTACAGAATAAATAAAGCCATAAAAAATAAAAACATGTGGTTAGCTATTCTGCACTGATGCTACAAAGAGCTGTATCTGCAAATAATAGAAAAATAAAAGAACCCTTGTTTATTCATGGCTCAGTGGTTATCAGCGAGGGATGAACAACTTGGAAAAAGACAGGGAGAAGTACCCTTGAACATGACTGCTTAGCCAATCTGACCTCATAGCTGACGCTGCTTTGAGCAGGGGATGGACTAGAGACTTGCTGAGGTCCCTTCCAACTTGAATTTTCCTGTGATCCTAAGACTGTCTTCTGATCTAAATAGTCTTGAGTCACCAAACTACAACTGGACATTCATTCCCGTTTCATTACCCAGAAGAAATTGAGCTAGGCCTGGCAGACAGGCAAGGCTGGGTCACACATACAGCCACATGCTGGGGCTTTAATTGACACAACTGCTCCTCTTTCATCTGACATGGTGCCTCCTGGTCAGCTTCCACTTCCTGTCATCATCTGGGGCAAGGCCCTTCAGAGGAACCCTCTAGCACTCTCCTCTCAGGGGAACCATGCCTGGGTCAAACAGATCTGACTTCTGGCACACCCTGGCAGCATGGAAGATATATGTGAAGCCATTGATGCTTCCTTTGCTGAAGTGGGGGATCTTAAAAGGTAGGAGAACTGGCTAGTTTGTTGGGACGAGGCCAGCTTGCTGTGCCTTGGCAAATTGTCAACCTTGCTACAGAAGGCCTGAGGTTTAAATTGTCCTCCAGCTTATGTTTTATTAAAAAAAAAAAAATTATTATAATTTCTGTCACATTACTCCCCACTTCCCAGAGAGTTGTTCAGTCTGCTTTGAACGCCTTCCTGCGGAGCCACACCATCCGGCATGAGTTGGTCTGATCAGCAAAAAACTGATCCAAAGGTGAGCTGTGAATATGGAATTCACAGTCATGCTGCAGGGCAGCTTTCAGTTCTACATTCAGCTGAACAGAAGGCACGTGAGGAGGCAACAAGAACAGCAGAAAACATCTCTCATCAGATACTAGCCAGGCAGAAGTGTGAAACATCTGTGCCAGAAGAAATTGGAAAAACAAACCAAAAAAACAAAAAAAACCCACAGTCTTAAATAGGTTTCTTATTGAACACACACACACACACACACACAACCCCCTTCTCCAGACATCACCAGAACCACACTGCAGTCCCTCCTGACCCCAGTACTGCTCAGCTAAGAGCCATCAGGAGCAACGGTCTGACTTGAGTCCATCTCATGGTCACAGGGAACCCCAGCTCCTGAAAAGAGGTTCAGGCAATGCTGTTTCCTATCTCTTTCCAAGTTCTGGCTTATTTGTACACAGTAGCACAGGAAACAAAAGTTTCCGCTTTGGTCACCGATGGAAAGTCTGTCCTGGCAAGTCACATTAGTTCAACAGCCTCATGTTCCCCATTTTCTTGCTGTACTATACAGCCGACTTTATTGTTGAAAAGTCGAGACAGACTTCCCTTTTGAGAGCTCCGGCCCTGGGCGGACCTCTCCTTCTTCCAGCGTCGCTTATTTCTCTTGCATATTCCCCGGATGTCCCAAATCCTTAGTGTGCCATCATGGGAAGCTGTGTACAACAACTCATTGTGAATCTGGAATAACAAGGTCATGCTTAATACCAAACTGTACAGCTCAGAATCACCACAATCAAACTCTCAAAAGTCAGAGCAAACACAGCCTGATCCTAACACTTAAGGCCTGACAGCTCATTGCAAGAGTCAGTATAAATTATCATAAAAGCTGCTAAAGTGGAATGACACACACCCAAGTCACGACTCACTTTTTTTCTCAGTCACTTCACAGAGCCGTAAGAAATAAAGAGCATGAGTTATTTATAACTTAAACCCACTAGAAAGGCAATGGGGAACTAAACTCAGTGTCGGGACATGCTCTAGCTGGGAATTTCAGCGCTGTTTTTAGACAGCTGGTTTTGAAGATCAAGGCTAAGGAAGCACCAAAATCAGCATCAGTGGGCAGTGGGGTTTTCAGGGATGCTTTCCTTCTCACTTTCCCTCCTCTTTTGCAGTAAATAACAGGTACGATTTCTTTTTAAATTTTTTGTTCATCCAAACCTTCAGTAACTTAACCTTTATTCCCCCCCCTGTAGTTTTGTTTCTTTAATGAAACTTTTACTTCTGTTGGTAACATTTCCAGTTACCCTCCCTAGCAGTAAGCAATAGGTCTCCATCATCTTCCCCACCTCCTGCTTCAGCCTGTCTGCCGCGGGCTCTCAGCCTTCCCGAGGCAGGCCATAATAGCCAGCATCCCACCCGGCAGTCTCGTTTACAAGGGCACGAAAAGGCAAACCACAAGCACCACGTAACTGAAGACGTATCGCTCGTAACTGCGACCAGGGGTCACGCTGACTCTTTGCCACTGCACCGTGTGTAGACGGTGCTCTAACAGAGTGGTGCATATATAAGCACTGCCTTCTCTGCGGTGAGCAAGGCAACAAACACTAGGAAACCCAACTACTCAATACCCAAAGGTTTGCAATTTAAGATCAGTTAGCCACTTGCTAGTTCAGAAAAAAAATATACAGAAGATGATATAGTCATATTTACACCTGTCTGTGCTCCAAAAGGAATTTTATCTATCTATCTCCTTTCTTTTTTTCCTTTGACTGTCAACCTGTCAGGAGCACTTACAAAGTTTCATGTTCTTAGTCAAAATCCTCATCCTGCACACAACTTCTACCCAAGATCTTGGTATGGGGAGATGCGGATCCTTAAACACACAAAGCGGCCATGGGATTCAATTCAGATTCAAACTTTCCACTCCAGGATCCCCTGTGTTTTATAACTTAAATCATGATACTGGTCTTAACACTGCCCCAAGGATTATTAACTTCCCCCCTTTTAACATTTAAGCGCTAGGATGCCTTAAGGGTAGGCAGGCAGAGACGTCTCTTACCTAGACAATACACAAGCAACTTTTTAAGGACTTCATTAACTTTTAGAAAATTATTAACCCAATGGCAGAGACTCTTCCATTTGTCTGGTGGGATGAGTTATACATCAATATAGGCCGCCTTGTAGTCTTTATACCTATATTTATACAAAAAAAAAATGCTGATGGCCATATTTTATATGAATATTTATATATGGGGTAACACATGGAAATCACCACTAGCTCTTGACTAAGACCAGAAGGGATGGTCACCAGTTGCTAGACTGTTGAGGGATGCCATGGCCAGGGCAGTTAGGGGGGGTAGTGCTATGTGTTATATTGCTTGAATAAGAAAGAAACTTCTATGCAGCACAGAGCATTGCAAGCACTTCTCCTCACATGCTCTCATGTGACAGAAGAGGTCTCATGATGTCAGAGTCCATTCCCTGCCCCTGCCCAGGATCAGTTGTATCCGTCTCTTTCCTTATGGATGCTTGCCTAACTAACTGACCTGAAAAACCTCCAATCAGAGACATCTGACTGTCTCTGGAGACCCATTCTGTGGTTTCACTTACCCTTACTAGTACAGAGTTTTTGTAAAATTACAGAAAGGAAGATTCAAGTCCATTTCATTTGCCTTATCCTAGAAAAATGTCTGATCTGAGGAACAGAGAACAGCCGGCCATATCAGTTCCCACAAAACAAAGGAAGGAGCAATCAGAAGGGAAGAAGCCCAACATCTGGCTCAGCAAAGAACTCCCTTCCTTACCTGGATGCAGTTGATGATGAATTTGTGTCCTCGGAAGATCTTTTGCAGGACGCCACTCTTGGAATTGAAAGCTCTCGCACAGGCATCACCACTTCCTGTGAACACTGCAAGGCAACCACACAACACAGCATGTAGCCAGATGTCAGCAACCACAGAAGGCCAGTTCACACGAGTTCAAAAACACACCAAAACCTAGTTCACTAAGGAGCATGACATATCATTTCTACACTTGTCCTCTTCTCAGTTACACCAAGGTCAGATGACTAATTTCACTGGCCCCAGCAGGCTTGTTTTTTCATTCATATTAAGTTCCTACATACATCAGCATTTGACTCCACACACTTCAAATAGACATTTACGCCCTTTTCTTCCATATAGATGTCTCTGTCTAAACATGCTTCAATAATTCTAGCTCAAGCAGGCAACTGAATCTCCAGTCAGGTTTCAAGGATTTCTGTCAAGCTCTCCATTTGTTCTACCATTGTTATTTCCAGGTTCCCACTCATTACTACAGTATCTTCATCACTTCTGCTATCGCATCAAGCTTCAGGGAAGCTTCAAATCACAGTAACAGACTGATACCCTCTCTTATATTAATAACACACGACATTTGGCCTTAGCATTATTAAAACATACCATATTTCTCACCCATTTTCAACCGAGAGTTTACTATCAATAGGTAGGACCATCTCTGCTGAAATACCACGGTTAAATCTTCTGCCCTCAAAGGTGAGCAGCATGTTTAGGCAGCTTTACAAAGAAGCTTCATAAATAATTTTAGAAGAGCAGATTTCTTCCGCTAAATCCTGTCACTTAGGATTACTGTCAGCAGTAGAGCCTTTAAGGGATTCAATGTTCAAGCTATAACCTCAATTTTGGACTAGCACAGGTGTTCACAGAACTATTTGAAGGTTTTGGCCATAACTCTTGTATTCTATGTACTATAAAAGTAAACGCGCTGTAAGATTTTTTTTCCCCTCACTAAATCAGGCATGACTGGAGATTTTGGCTGTCTATCAGGTTTTCTTAGGGTTAGTTGGGCCTGAGAACAATTTCTCAACACTTCAGGGTCTTCAGATTAGGCCCCCCAGAACTGCTGCATCTAGGAACTACAAGACAGTGTTGAATATTTAGGTTGTATTTTTAGCAACAGGCCCCAAAAGAACATTGGCCTGCTTTAAGGGTTATAAACGCTCTTCATAACACTCCTTTCTGCTAACTTACCCTAAACTCCTCAACTTTACTAAGAGATAAAAAAAAATTCAGAACTACAAAAAGTAAAATATTCACCGATCCCTGCGTTTCATGCCTTCACCAAAGCCATGGAAAGATTTGCAAAACTGAAGTGCCTGAATAACAGATTCCTTATCTTTTGGGAGGGATCAGGCACTGGTTTCCTAAGGAGAGGTGATGAAATGAGCACTGTAGTAAATTCAGGGCTCTCTAACACGAAACCAGCCAACAGGCTACCTACTGCCATCAACTTTCCAACTTCAACTTCAACAGCAGCAGGCTGGGTACTTGCTCGGTACACCCAAAGGCTATCTTCAAGAAACACCTAGAGGAGTAAAAACCAACCTCATTCTACAGGGGCCAGTACAAGGGCCAGTATGACTGTGGTTGCCAACACAATCCTGAAAAACCATCGCATCCCATTCTGCAAACCAGTAACAACAATGCATAGCATAGAATAAGATACTATTTTTTTTCCCCTCCAGTGAATGGAAACCACTTAATTTTACACACACGCACAGAGAGTAGGAACTAATTAAGAGCTGTTTTCACTTTATAGCTGTCAGTTTATTTTAGCTATCGCTATCAGGACTTTGCTTTTGACAGATATCTTTCATGCCTTTTCAGCTGTCACTCCAGATTTAAGAAGTCTCTTTGCACCTCTAAGTTTCAAAGGGAAGCTGCTGATCTAACTTGTATTTAGCATTTAAATATAGACTTATATATACACACCTGCAAAACAAACAAACAAGAAAAAAGTCAGAACTACTTTTTTTTTTTTTTTTTTACTTGAATTTCAGAGTCTTGGGAGGGAGGGTTTTAAGTGTTCCCTCAGAGGTTTGAAACGTGAAAAAACATAAATTGAATTAAATTTTAACTGATGAAGCACATATTGTAGGAGACAAACAACAAACATAACATCATTAAGTCAATTAGATTGAGCACCAACTTTAACATTTTCCATGCTATTAATTACACAGACAGATTGAGGAAAGCCACTAAAAACCACATTCTGATAGTTTAGTTCTCAGATCTGTCTGGACTCCCTGTACTATACAGAGCCATTTAGGAAACACACATATATATATTTTCCCCTCATTCTTAGATTATATACTTGTATTTAGACTGTAAACTCTTTGGGGCAACCAGTCTTTGGTATTGATCAGACAGTAGCAAGCAAAAAAGCTAAGATCTTCTAACAGAAAGTCACCACTTTGCAGCAAGGGTTCTCTCCATGTTCCAGGGCTGATGCAAATGTGACAAACGTAATAAAGTTGATTTATCCTGAAGCATTTTCTTCACATTTTCAAAAGACAGAACATACACATAGCGCTGATCTGTCCCAGGTGAGCGACAGGAATTGTTTAAGCTACACTAACTCCAACATTTTCCAAAAAGTGAAAACGTCTCTGATCACATATTTATACAGTGCTTAATAATCTTGTTTCAATTAGAATCTCAAGGTATAACTGTAATGCAACCCAACATAGTATGCAAATCCATTTTTCATCTTTCAAAAATTAAAATGCCTCTAAATTGTATTCAGACAGATCCCTAACATTTTTCCATGACGTTTATTCTACTTTTCAGGTGGACCAATTCAATTCTCCCTGTTTGACACTTCAGTATTTTAGCATTTGATTTAAATAACATTGCAAACACTTCTATCGACTATCAAGATGTTCCTCACAGGTCTGACTAAATGCAGCAATATTGCCTGCATTGTAGAAAAAGTGTTACGGAAAAATAATGCAAGTGTTTGGCAGGGTTGGGGGAGGGAGAGAGAGTTGATGGGGCAGCATCTTGGAATGAAACTTTTCTTTGAGTCTAAGTTTTCTATATGATAGTTTGTGGCAGTCCAGTCAAGTATATACTGGTTGGACGAAGAGCAGGATCAACACCAAAACTTGCAGCACTGGAGGGCTCGCTAATTAAGGAAACAGTCTCTCCATCTCCCAACTAGACATAAAGATTTGTTACTGTATCAGGCCAATATCAGCTTAGCATGGTTATCTTGCCTTTGGGTAGGCTTGATGGATTCAATGTTTGTCTTTTAAATTAAAAAAGGGAACAAAAACATTTTGTTTGCCAGTGTTCATGCTGGATTAAAACGTCTGGTTCTTTTTCCCTGTCGCTACCTATCTGCGTCTCTGAGCAATAACATCTTCGAGGTGCAGCCTTTGGGGTGCTCGGCCCCTCTCGCCTTTCCATTCCAGCCCTTAAGGCTGAAATCAGGAGAAATTATAGCCTGCGGGTAGGGGAGAGAGGGGCAGTTCTGCAGCGGATGCTGACATTAACTATAAATTATGACTGTTTCAAGGGAGAAAAGTAGTGCGGTGGGTTGAAGGTTGAAAGGAAGGCTAAAAAAAAGGCTAACTGATTAAAATCCAAAACTACCTATGGGCTTGGTTACATTTTAAGTTTTCAAACATAATTAAGGAAGTCCTTCAGTTACTGGATGCTAAGTGTGGTCAAGCAATCAGCCACATCAAGCATGATGTTAGACAACTGTCATTAAAGTGTAATCTGCATGTGCAGATACCACCTTCTTCCAATGCATATTATCTTGCATTTGTCAGCCATTTATCACCGTCACACTGATCATCTATCTGCCAAAAGGGACATGAAGCCCCAAACGGTAACTATTCATTTGGTGTTATATGTGGATTTCACAGCTGAAGTACAGAAATTAAATCAGAAAAGCACTGCAACTTTCCAGATTAGTTCAGGAAAGGCATTACAATCCCTGCAACCCATAGGCAGTAAAGGAGAGAAGCAGTTGTTTGGGAAGCAAATGAAAGCCCATCAGGTCTAACGTCAGTGGCAGTATAAGACAAGGGCGATGCATAAAGAGGTTCGGGTTGACAAAAACAGCGCCGCAGCCTTGCGAGCCAAACCCAGAAGTGAACAGATGACACGCTGAAGGAAAGCCAGGCAAGAGAGGGATTTAATGAGGGAAGTTACATGGTCAGAATATACTGTTATATCAACAGACATATGCATAAGGATATTATTTTTAATAGGGTTATTGAAAGCAATGAAGTTGAGTCCTAAGCACTAATAAGAAGGCAAGCAATACTTGGCTACACCAGAAAGGTGGCTGGAGGAACAAGTACAGGAAAGAGGACAGATAAAAAGAAAAGAATTTGCAGAAATGAGTCTAGGAAATGAGCAGAGTTTGAACAGGAAACCTAACTGCTAGAAAAAAAGCAGTGGACATTTGAGATGCGACCCTGGTTTAGGACAATACCTTACACGGTACCTACAACGGAGCAGAGGCAGGCACAGGGCTGCATCTTCAGCAGCAGCACTTGCTGCCCCTGGGAACGCAGCAGAAGCAGACTGACAGACAACGGACTAGTTGAAGCTAAATCCTGGCTACTCCAACAACCTACAGACAGTTCAGGATTTAAATCACCTTCCTTGATAAGAAAAATTCCTCCGTGGCTATAAGGGGATAAATCATCTGCCTCTTCACTTGCCAGAAGAGGGAGGTGGAAGGTGGAGGGAAGGCCTAAACATCTCGCCTGGAGTAGAACAGCAAAGTTTGATACTGAACATAAACGCGCTGGAGTTGGAAAAAAAGTGACAACTTCCCAAGCCTCCAAAATTACAGTATTCTCTATCAACAATCTTTGATCAAAGGCAAACATCCAAAATGAGACAGGGGATTGCTGAACATAGGAAAGGCAACTTACAGATCCCAGCGTGGTATTTCAAAGTGCTAACGCTGTGTTTGTGAGCCTTGTACGTTTGGATTCGCTCCCCAGTGTCTACTAACCAGCACTTCACTGTCCTGTCCGCGCTTCCTGAATACAAGTGCCGATTCACTAGCTGAAGAGAAGAGAAAAAAACATCAGCAATAGTCTCTTAGGCACGTTTGTGAGACAACTGCACTGAAGTGACTCCTCTGAAGTCATGGTTTCTGACAAGAATTACACCTCAAAACAGAGGGATAGCGTGCAAAACCAATCGTGCATTCTTCATGATCACGTTGCCCATTTGAATTTTTGGCTTTAAAAAACAGCTTCCACATTTCAGAAGATGAAAAAATTAGCCCATCTGCTGGTGCAAGCAGGCAGGATTTCACTGAGCTTAACAATGCTTCCCCTATGTCCATAATTAGTTACATTAATAGAGCCTCAAAAATCTAGTGCAGTTTCTGCAAAGCACAGGTGACATGAACACTAATCAGATCATAAGCTTCAATTAAAACAAAAAATCCAGAATAACTTTGAGTGACAAAAAGAGTAAATTAAAAATAAAATCCCACCCAACATAAATCACCGTTTAACAGGGTTAGTCTGCACAAGGTCAATATTTAGAAACATTCCTTCCTCGAAACGTGTGTTTCCACAAGTCTTTCTACAGTGTTATCTAACGATTAACTAATTACCTACCCCTCTCCCCCAGGATTCTGAACATCTTCAATCGCATTACCTTCTGCTGGGTGTAGTAGAGCAACCCTGCCTATAAATCCCAAGGACGAATGGCGTCCTGTTGTAGCAGTCGTTCTGTAGGTTGTGTACACTCACAAGGGTAGAGGTTGGTTTTTTTCCTTTCATACAGACAAGAGAGAATGGCAAAGGGAAGAATTCCTATCTGCACCACGTAGATGGAGAAGGGAGACAGAGACAGAGAGAAAGTGAGGGACCTGCGCAAGATTATAAAACGAGCCCACGCACAGCAACTATATGAGACTTCCTAAATCCAAAGCCCAGCAGCTTAGCAGGGAAATCCTCCACAGTGTGAAGAGAAATCTGGCATTCTATGTTTATTTAAGAAAAACAAACAAAAGCTTTTAACAGCCATCACTGCAAACAGCTCTGACTGCATACTCCTCCAAGCCAAAGCCTTCCTGGACACCTGCCCTTTGAAGGCAGCATAACGAAGTCAGCCAGCCAATCATGCGCTATTCCAGCAATCCAGGTGCTACAGTCTGAGGTAAGTCTCACGGACTTATGACAATCTCTACGTCAACCAGACAGAAAATAGGTGCAGAGACAGGAGGGAGAACCAGAATTTACGTAAGGAGCAGTGACATCTTGTTTCCCCTCCAGACACACAGATCAGCAGAGCACTGTCCCCTTACACTCTTCAGATGCCTCCAGGAACCCTGTGAAGGGCTGGTTGCCGAACACGTGGCAAATCAACCTGACATGGGTCTTGCTCTATGTTGCTTCTAAGGGTCCAGCTCTTCCCTCCACCCAGATTATTATAAAGCCTTGGTCCCAACTCTTTGCACACTCTCTCTCTATGACGCGGAAATGTTTTTTATTCTCTGCCTTTTATTCTCTCCCCTTCCCACGTCCATTCCCAAAAGGGATCACCCACTGCCAAAAGGCATCACTAGCGAGCTTTGCACAAAAAAAAAAAAAAAGCATTCACAGTGTTGTAAGAACAGCAAACAAATGGTATTTAAAGACACAAAGCACTACTGTGACAGGATTTTCTGTGTAAGAAAGGTATGCAGCCAGGCCAAGATGATCACTGGACACGGTTCCCACCAACCCAGTTGGAGCAGTGCATGCATAGCTTCCTGCTAGCAGAACTTGGCCCACAGGACAGTTTTCATAGCTCAACATCAGGAGCTTGTAAAACACCTACCACAGTTAAAAGCCAGCAGTAGTTCAAAGTGTCACATCCTATTACATTTGAGCTGTTTTAGCAATGGCATTAATATTACATCTCAATGAGGACCGAGAAGGAATGACCAACAGCACTAACAAAAGTTGAGAGCTACACAATTAGCCCGAGGAAGGTAACCTGACCTTTAATTGCAGGGCTCAACCTGAACAGGCATGAAGAGCCTAGTCACACCGCACCTGCTAAACGTAAGAGGTTGTTTTGAGTTGGGGTCCTGCTGGGTTGTTCTTGGCCAAGTCATTGCATTTCTGTTCCAAACATCTTGCCAGCAGCATCAACCCACCCACTGAACAAGGGAAAACACTAAGTTATAACCTCCTGCAGGTAAATGCCACTCTGCGTTAATGGTACATTAGGTTACACTGCTTGATTTCTACATTTAAGTGGGTGTATAAATGTTGAAGTGAAAGAGAATAGCAGCAACTTGCCTAGATTTGCTGCTTTGCAAGATATAAAAGTGTGTTAAATGATGTGGGCTTACTCAGCTAATTTATGGAACCATAAATTAGATTGGATCTTAAGAGAGAGCTGTAAGAGCTTCCAAGGCCCAGCTAGTGACTTGGAGAGACTGTACAGCCACTGCCTTCATTAAATTTAAAGCCTTTGTGCCACCTAGGCTGCCCTGTGGTACACCTTTATATACTTTCCTTCCCCCTAAGCAGCTGAGCATAGGATGTAGTCATACTATATGTGCAGCACTGGAAAGCATCTTCCCCCTCAACCACACTCAGAAACAGCAGTAGTAACAGGTTAAACAAAGACGTCACAGACTAAGTCTGCAGCAGAGCCAGCAGCAAAACCCAGCATAGGCTCTGACTGTCACACAGCCTCTCATTTCCAAGGCATTTTTAAAACCCAGAGCATGAAATAGCTATTAGCGGGGAAAGCCATCAAGAGCTATCAGCTCAGGCTGAAGCTGCAAATCAGATCTAACTTTAGTGATACGATGCAGGCATCATCTCATTTAAATTGATGTAGATGCCTACAGCTGAGATAGTCCCCTTATAGCCACGGTAATCTAGGGCATGATTCATCTCATCCTGAGGGAGATGTCTAAAATAGGCTGCCCCTTAAAAAAGGCTATTTCATCCCACTGACAAGGATAGCCATCTCAGCTGTAGCTGCCTATATCAATTTAGGTGTGATAACTCCCGCTTTGCTTGACTAAAGATAGGTCTAGTTTACAACTTCACCCTAAGCTACAACACTACAGACATCTGTATTTAATCAGACAAATCGCACGCAGCGCTCCCAGCCCAAGCACCTTACAAGCAGACCCCACTCTCTATGTAACCCATAAGATAAGTTATCCTCTGCACCATACAGACGGGGGAAGCAAGATGCAAGGCAACTGAAGTCCATACCCAGAAAAGGATTTGAAGCTTATGGCGTGCTGATATTTGACTGCCAGAATCCCAGAGTACAGCCCTGATTTGGGAGGCTGATAACGCCTGTCCCATGCACAGGAAGCTTTATATGCCTCCGAGCAGTTGTCACAAGCATCAGTGCACAGAGCGCAGTATCCCTGGAACTGGTCAAGAGTGAATACGAAAATCAGAAGGGATTCTCTCTGAAAAGAGCAAGACTGAGGCACCAATTCAATCCGATCCATGTCAGAGCAGTATTTTTATTCCACAGTTTTCTCTGGGAGCTTGCATCCAGAGGGTGTATCTCCTGCCAGACACAGCAAAGTTAGCTCTACCTTGTCGAGGCTAGAAACAATGCCAATACCCTCGCGCTGGTTGGGCTCAAGCCACCTTCACTGTGGAAGCAGCGGAGGTTCTAGGACCAGCCAGCAGCGCAGGCCCTTGGCTCCTGTAATTATTTTTTCTTAAGTAATGCCTATGTTGAAAACTATCTGACCAGCCCAAGAGAGAGGGACTTCAATACAAAACCCCCTGCCCACTTCCAACCAGGTGCCCAAAGCACTGACTTCCCCTTAGGCTGCCTTCTGCTTGTGCTCCTTCTAGGACTCCTGCTAGCCTCCTTGCACTGAGCTGGCTTCTCCTGTCCTGCAGTCATGGCACTCTCCAAATGGATTGAGATCCCCTCAGTCTGAGGAGGCCATTTAATCCAGGTCTGCCAGTTCTGCTAGGCTATCGGGCACACGAACAGGTTCCCTTCCTTCCCGTCACGTTCCTGAATGAAAACGTCCACAGTTGCTGTTCCTTGGGCTAAATATCCCTGCTGACATGTGTGAAGCCCAGAAGATCACTTCCCTCTTGGGAGTTGGACAAAGCATAGCAACCTCTCCACCAAAATGCTAGATCGTGCTGCAGCTTAGGTGGGAGCTAAGCCTCCCACATGCACCGACTGGCACCCATTTTTGTTTATAGGCACCCAGGTGGAGTCACCCCAGCAAATACTTCTGGATTTACAAACGGTAGGACCATAACTCCCGGGTGGTTTTTTTCCAGCTCAAAGACTCCAAAACCCACATCCAATTCCCTAGGCCTCAGTCCTATCCTTATTAGAGAATTTAATTTTCATATGATTTAAAAGGAAATATGTAAAACTTCACTCAATATTTTCCAAGTAGAGCAAAGTCTGTCAACTCTTGGTTTAAAAATGATCAGTAGATACAACTACATATTCTAATCTGCCAGTGCCTGGAGAACTAGCGATCGTTTCAGAGCTGTATTTTCCTTGGCTGGCTTTAAGAGAGCCTTGTTCACTTTGGCTAACTTCCTAACAAAGCTCCTGACAGGGAAAAGCATGGCAAGGCAAGGACACCTGTAGCACTGCAGAGAACACTGAGCAGATTTGCAGCTCAGATCCTAATGAGCCAAGGAGCTTCAAAAGAATAAAAAAGCTGATGGCAATCAGATGCCCAGTTTTAAAGCCTCAGCCAGATAATCACTGCATCAACATCTGTAACGCTGGCCGGTTCATTTTTCTCATTACTCTGAGAGACTTTGCTTTGAATGAGACACAACCCTGAAACACAGGAATAAAACAAATTTGTCTTAATCCCCAGGCCAAAGCACTGGAGATGTACTATTCCATGAGAAAGTTCAGTCAGACTGGCTTAAAACTACCAAAGTTACAGCAGTAGCAAAACACAGATTGTAAATGCTGAAGTAGTTACAAGCTGATATTTAAAAACTCATATTTTATGCAACTCTGACCTTGGTTGTAGCCCCTAGACACACCACTGTTCAAATAAATGAGCAAAAACAATCTCATCTGAAGTTGCTCTCTCAAGACTGAAATGTCCCTATTGCTCCACCCTTGGCTGAACTAAACATATGCAGCAGCTTAAGACAATTTTTACCTGTATGAATGCCAGAAAATTTTTGAAATAGAGCTGCTTAGCAGGTATCGCAACCTACTGTTTATAGAAACAGACTTTGCTCTCCAAATTAACCTTTGCTATAAAACATAATTTACCTCTCATCCAAGGAGAGGCAATCAGCTCTCCAATCAGATTTGGATACGTCCTCTTTCTGAGGGTCAGGGCAGTCAGGCTGGTTCCCAGGAACTCGAGTTCACATCATCAACCACCTTTCCCACTGCTGGTTTATTCTCCCCATCAGGGTCAGTATTCCTACAACCTGCCTGCTGGGCTTTCCGTTCACAACCACTTCCAAGTTAAAAAATCACCAACTAGACCAATCTCATGTTACAACTATGTGAGCCTTCAGCTGAGTTAGCCTTTCAGGATCCCATTCAAATCACCTTCATTTTAACAAGCTAAAGAACTCCCTGTGGGCAAGAGAGAGGATTTGTTTTTTTTTTTTTTTCCTCCCCTGAGATCCCATCTAGAATGGAGTCTCTGGTCAGATCGTTTAAAAAAAATAAATAAACAAAACATTTTTTTCAAACTTCTCTACTGCAGTAATGGTCAAAGTAATAGTCCTGGAAATATTTTTTTTTTCTACAAACAGGTGCTCTACACATTCATATTCCTCTAATTCACATCTTCATCCTTGGATGAATTATGCAATAAATACAAGCACAAATACAAAAATTATGTGCACTTAATTTAATTACTAACTGGTGCGACAAGAGAAAACATTGTGTCCCTGTGATCATTACAGTTAAGTGTATAAACAGAGTTCAAGCAATGGCTTTGTTCAAAGCATTCTTCTCTTCTAGTCAGCTTTAAAAGGCAACTGAAGGGAACGGTCCCAACAAAGGATCTTTTGCAGGAGAAACTAAAGCAAGTCCTTGCCCACTTATGTCCATTTACAACTCCTGTTGCAATTTTCATCCTAGTAAGAACGCTTGCTGTGGTATCCAAGATAAACTCCAAGCTAGATCATTTCTTTCTGCCAACTTTTGGCAGCACAGCTTTGATAAGTACTCACAGAGGCTGAACAATCAGCAAAGGACAAAGCAATCCTTGTAAATAGTTTGCAAAACCACTTTGGAGACATTTATAATAACACACACCAGCCAATATTTAAGTCAGGGTTATTTAGCCTATCGCAGGCAGTTGTGTTAAAGAAAATGAGTGTTTGATTATTAATTAAAAATATTAGTCTTTAGCCAGGCCTGAAATTTTTAAGTGGGAGAACTAGAATGAGCTGTGTGATTGCACTCAGCCCACCCTTGCTTTTTCCCTTCGCTTCATATGAAATCTCATCATCAGCTCTTTTATGCAGTGGGAGCAGTCAAAATAGGTGCCCTCCCTTGCCTGCCAAGCTACCATTACACTACAGGAGAAACACAGACTGAACAGCTCTGGCTGCTCCACTGCTTGTGACCTTACTGGACTACGTGCCTGAAGTAGTCAGGAAGC